GATTTCATTTTTATAAGAGGGACTCAATTTACCTTTTTTTTTTTTTTTTTAGGCGGGACTCAGTTTACTTAAAATTAATTAAATGGGATTCAATTTACTAAACCCAATTTTTTAACATGTTCAGCAAAATTTGAATTAGGGGCAGTCTTTTTAATTTTATTTCAGAAATGTGTTCTTTATATCTTATTTAAAATATCCATTTGTCTTATCTAAATAAAATTTATTACAATTAGGCACCTAATTTATATATGCCAGAATTTTCAAAAGAAGGAGGATATTTTTTAAAGATTTTTAAAGTCAAAAATGTCAACCCATTATTAACCCTTCTTTTTGAAATTATAATTTATTGTTATATTGAAAATAATTTTTATTAATGATTATATTTATTGATTGCATAATTTCTTGTATTTTGTTTGTATTTATTTTATTATGTATATAAGCTTATTTTATAAAATATGTGTTGTTTAATATCAAGGAATGAAAGTATATACATTTTTAAAGTCAAGAGAAATCATTTTATACATGGTTCGATATTAGTTTTTAAAATTTTTCAACAAAATCACATGTATTTTTTATAGAAGCATCAGTGTTCATGTTAGTTTTTTATGAATGAGCTTTAATATTTAGCAAGATTATATGAAGTACTTTCAAATTTTATTAATAGATGAGTCGAATTATTTTATTTATGTTATTTTATGTGGATATAAGTATGGAGCCATTATTTTATAACAGTATTTTAATAACATTTTCTTTTGGATTTTAGGTATGATTTTTTTCGAATTTGTTATAAGTTAATTTATTTGTTTCGTGTAAATTATAGTTAGATAAGATTTGAATTTTTGAATTATATTATTATTTATAAAATATATAGTTTTCTTATAAATGTCATTAATTTAAATGATAATAATAGCATTACATTTATATTCTGGAACTATTTAAAAATGATTTGTTTTTAATTTATTCAATTTATTATTAATCACTGTCGTTTAATTATATTATTTTGTATTAGTATTTCATTTAGAATATTTTTGAATTATTTATTAGTGCTGTTTATTAATTTATATTTTATTTTAAAATTGTGTATAAATTTAACTGCTTCACATTATATTAATTAGTTCTTAATTTATTGTAAGTTTAATATTTGATGTGTATTTAATTTACTACCTTTAATTAATAAATGGTTTTTAGTTTTATTGAAAATTATAAAAGTTAAATTAGTAACTCGTAGTTAAAAAGAATGATGTTTTTTAATTTGTGCTCCTAAAATTAAAATATTAATTTATTATTAACCATTTTTAATTTTTCTTTAGTTGTATATTTTGTTAGATATAATTTTTAATGTGTAAAATTTGTAAGTGGTTTAAATTTTGGTATAAAATTATTTTTTAATTATTAATCTTTCCTACTGTTACATGTTTTTCATTGAATAAAAATTTTATTTCAAGGTTCAATCATATTGTCACTGCTCTTATCTTGGATTTGATTGAAACTTCAGAAGTGAATGATATATTATGTTGATGTATTATGGGTATTTCGTTATATACATTATATTTCATCACATATTTCGTTTTAAATGGTACTTAACATTTTGGCTTATTTCTTTAAAACAATATTGCTATTTTTAATGCATATTTTCCTGGTGATAAAATTAAAAATCAAAATCCCTTGATTTCGAGAGTAAATATATTTCCGATCCATTGAAGAAGCTTGAATAAAGACTTCTAAATTTTATATTTTTACATTAAATGTTAATAGGAAAAAGTTTTAAATCATAAAGTCAAAGCTTACTCACTTTGCTCAGAATCTTCAATCTGTATACATTTTTAACACTACCCTTTTATTTCTATTATTTTAATATTTATTTTAGAAAAAGTCACTGAATAACATTGGACTCATATTTCTTCTTATTTTGTACTTATATTTTTAAATCATAACTCGATGTTTATAATATGATATAGTATATAGTGTATATATATATATATATACACTTTTTTCTATAAAATAATAAAAAATAAATTCTTTACACAATAATTTGATCGGTTAATATAATGTAGAACTGATTTCCTAATGCTGTGATATAGTTATTCATTTCGTTCGATTAATTTAATATTAAAATTATACTTTACATACCTACACATTGTTCATTAAAAAGTAAAATGTATTTAATCAGTTAATCAAATTAATCTTGAGTAATGAGCGAATCATAAGTTTTATTGGAATTAAAAACAACTTGTAATTTATCAATGTTATTCTATTATTCTATGAAAAAAGTAGTAAGAAAATGTATTGGAATCGTTTCTCTAGTTTCTACTTTAATTATGCACAAAAGGTATTTAGTACATTCAAATTTAAACATCCATGGATGTTTTAAGTCATTTTTTTAATTATGTAACATTTTATGTAAATATTTTATCCTGTGAAAGTAACAATTCATTTATCTTTGAGAAGCTAAAATTTTCACATTATGAGTATAATGCGCATTTTATACAACCCTTATGCCGTATGACAACTTATTATTATTCACATGGTGTTTATTTAAAGGTTTATATGATTATTAAGATTTCAAAAATGTTAACCATTAGTTTGGTACTTACTTTTTACTTGTCATCTAAAGTTAAAAACGTGAACTGTTGAAGATTTGCTTAGAAATTATCAGTTACCACTAAAGTTTGACAATTTTAAATAAATCATCTAAATATTCTAGTTATCCATCTTATAGTGATCTCCAACTTACAAATTATTAGAAAAAATTAACTTTAAAATGTACTTAAGAAATTAAGCAGAATAATATTATATTTCTAAAGCATAAACATTTCTTCGATATCGTTTCTAGCGATCAATCAAAAATAATATTTATTACTCTATACCTCATTTATTTTTTTTGAATTATAAATTACTATTGTCGCCAAAAACATCGAAGCATGTTATACCAGGGTAAGTAGTATGACATCATTTGAAAAATAAATTATCTATTGAAAATTTTATATGGTGCCACACCTTTATAGAAATAGAAATAGAAAAAATTCATATTTTGATGAAAAAACTGATTCATATTTTGATATAAAAGGTATGTTATGCTATAAATAATTAAAGTGTATTTTTAGTTTAAATTAGTCTTTATTGTCAAACTTAATTTAATCAGATTTTGATCTAAGTCTTATTAGAAAAATGATATTTATAATTTTTAACTTTTTCTAAGGCATATTATAATTGATAGCGCGAGTAAGAATTTATTATAATTGAAAATTTTAAATATTCTGATATGATTTTAAAATAGTTGGAAATATAGACATTATCAATGAGTTGTATAACTTTAGTTATAAATATTTGATACAATTTTATTTAAATAAAAAATTTGTCACCCATTTCTAAAAATTATAATATTAAGATTTTGTTTAAAAATGTAAAAGAAAAGTTATTTTCAGTTTATCGTATATACGAGCATGTATGATTATAGTTTTAAAATAAGATACTAAAGCTCCTTATCTAAATATTATATATTGTATTAATATCGTGATTGAAGATGTTTTTTTGCTCGATGAATTTTTGTTTTATCATGTAAGTCTATGTTTATTCTTATATTGTTTATTTGTTTAAAAACTTTGAGTTAAACGAAATATTAAATAATGAATATAGGAGTATACAAAACATTATAATTTTAACATTTATTTAAAAAGATAATTTTTCTATCTATATACATTATATATTATTAATAATGCTATTACTATTATATGATTTATTATTCTGTTTGATTTTATATTTCGAGCCGAAATATTTAAAATAAAACCTTAAAGCTTATAATACTATATTGATTATAAATTTAATTTAAAGCAGGGTTCGTTTATTTTTACAAATCATTATTCACTGTCAATAAATTTCATTAATTCAAATGGTTGGTAATAATGCATTATTGTCACGAATACTAGTTTTAAGTCAAATAACTTCTCTATCGACTGTAAAAATAGAGAGTTTGGCATAAAGAAAAAATAATATAGCGAACACTAAAAAACATTATACCTTAACAAAAAATAGCACTTCATATTATTTAAGATTTAATAATGGATTTTTGATTTTTACTTAATTTTTAACAATTTTATATTCATCTAGATTTATATTAGCGAATCAATCAAAGTATATTTAATGAAAACAATTTCAAATATTTACAGTACCTATGTTCAATTAAAAATAATATTTTCATCAGTATACAAATTAACGTAATATCGAACTATAACAGTTTGATGTTGTTGTAGCATGCCTTTTTTCGCTTTTTATAAAATCATAATTTTAACTACAAGAAAAGTGGTACTAACCGAACTATAGGTCATGGTCGTTAATTCTTGGTTTTAGAGTGTGCTTATATATGAGTAGAATGATGAGTTTGTGTATAGAATTTAAATGGAGTTGTGGAAAAGTTATAGTTGCTGTGTAACTACATGTCTTGTCACAATAGTTTTTGCCGATTTTAAGAAGTCAAGATAAATGGTTTTTGTAATCGGAAGTCCTCACCATCATTTGTCTTTCGATTTGTCATGTTGAATGAAAAACAAATATGTACACGATTATGATCGTTGCACTACACTACAACTATGGAATATACAATACTCAGTATAGTATAGTAGCTTGTATGTTTACTTAAAATAATTTTTTTGCGTAAAAATGATTCCTATTAACTAGATTTAATGAATTAAAACATTGCATTTTTATTGTTTTGATTTTCAAATTAAATACACAAAATCACTTAGTAGTATAAAAGCATTTATAAGAAATAATTTATTTTTTTTTCACAAAAAATTAAAAACACACTATTTATTTGATATTCTAATTAAAAAAATCATTACATTGAATAAAATCGTCCATAACAGCAAAATAGTTAAAACATTTAACTTCAAATTTAATTGATATGTCAACTTTTTGATTAATATTTATAATGATTTATATTTATTCAAAATAAAAATATTTCAATATACAATATAAGTTATCACAGTTATTATATATTTTAGGTCTGTTGGTCATATGTGGCGTGGGCAGTTGTAAAGATTACGTAACCTTACCGTGCACATGACGGTCAAAATGATGGCTGGTGAATAAGAATACGAATGGGGTGCACATGGGTTATGCGTCTAATAGTAAAGACGTCTTCAAGTATCGCCACGAATCGATTGAAAAATACAATATCGTTACATTAGACCATCGTGTATACAGTAAATCAGGTATGTACTACTATTACTGTTTACTATTCATAATATCAATACGTGAATTGCTAATGAATGATATTTTAGAATGAAATTGTAACAGTTCAAAAATGTGTTTATCTAAAGTCTGAACTGAATATATTTTAACTTTTAGTTGTACGAGTATGTTGTGATATTATTAATTTAATATTTAGTAAAATAATAAACGAATTTATAAAACTGAAAAATGTTATAGTGATAGTTAGATTTATAGACCGTTATCGAATTATTTTATTTTTTTTAAATGTAATTGGATCTATATTTTACTTAAATGTTGGATAAATGTCATGAAAATAATTTTCATTGTGTAACCTATCTACGGTAACATGATATTAGGTTGACAACATTCGGGTAGACAGTACATGGGGCCAACCACCCATGTACTGATAGTCCACAGGGCCGACAAATTATAATAAAATACAATTTTTAATATTTTTACAAACTTACATTATTCGTTAAGTTCTTATGCATGTACTTATCGAATTTACTGTATAAGAATTAGTCTGGGTAAACTCAATCAATAAAACGCTTATTTCATAAGTTATTAATTAAAATTTTGAATAAAATATTTGTCAATAAATGAACAAAATAGTTTTAAATCTGTTGTAGAAAATTATGATTGTAATAATTTTTATTTTAGGTGATAATCTGATGACCTTGTGTACTTAGCTGTTGTAATTTTGCGTGTGTGTATAGAACATATAAACAGTTATCGAAGTCAATAAAAAAAATACAGGATTTGGTGATGTTTTGCTAAAGTCGATCTATTAGCTTTAAAGTGAATTCGATAAATACAGATATAAGAACATAATGAATAAAGTAAAATTACATATTTTTATATTTTGTCAGCCCAGTAAACTGTTGGCCTCATGTATTGTCTGCTTAATGGTTGTCAGCCCATCGATCCATTCCCCATATTTATATTTATAAAAAATCGCTTTAAGTATTTTTTATATAAATATATGTATTCATTATTTTTTGCAATATTCTGGCTTAATTAATCTTCATTTTTACTAAAGAAAATTAGTCATTCAACCATCAACATCTGGAAACAAATTTAAATTATTCTTAATTTTATTGAATATAGGTAAATAACGATATTTACATTTTAATTTTGTTGTAATTTCAATTCTATATTATTATTTACATGTAATTGCATTCTATTATTCATACTTTGAAGTTTAATTTTTCCGATACGGTATAATCATTTAACAGCATATCTAAAGTATATATTTGATTTTATGATTGTAAAATAAATTTGATTGCGTATTAAATGACAAGTCATAGTTAATAAACTGTAGTTATAAATCATGAATAGGTTTAATAAAAACAAGACAATCATTTGGCGTGTTGAACAATAACCTTGAAAAAAACTAAAAATTAAGTAATATTTATCTGTAGAAAAACTATATGAATTATAATGATTCCATGATTCTTGATAATTATCAATTATAAACAATTCTAGTGATTAAATGGGACATTGATGCAGTAGCGTCCCTAGACACTTTTATAGTAGAAGGGAAAACTTTGTACATGTATTCACATTTATTTATTTTTCTAGTGTGATATTAATAATAAATAAAAAAAATTTGAAGAAAACAATACCATGAAAGAAGGTGACTGTCATGACCCCCAAAGATGTCCCTGTATTGATGCATAGTTAACATGATATGAATCTTTTAGATTTTCTCTACAAAATACATTTAAATTATTAACTTTGGTAACATTCACAAAAAAATTACAAATTAATCATTAAATTAAAAAAATACAAATACATACAATATAAATATTTGAAAGAAAAATTAAATTATAATTGAAATTTCTTTTTTTACCGCAACTTATTTTTAATAAAATAAAAATATTTAAAAAATACTAACATGAAGAATATGAGCGTACCTAAAATTCAATTATAATTCAGGTATTTTCTAGTTAAAACTTATGTGTTCATTTTAAATTCTATTTCAATTAAAAGATCATATGTCATTAAAATGGTTGGTTCTTTTTTATTATACCGGTAATAAAAAGATAAGTAGCGAATTCAACAATTTATATAGTTAGCTGTATATATGTCTAAGCTAATAAGGTTAAAATTGTATGCAGTTAAAAAAAAAATTAAAAATACAATGGCATTTAGTCGTATGATTTATTAAAGTTGAAGATAGACATCGTAATAGGTTTAAAAAATGTCTTTGATTTTTTTTTTAGTTATATAATTTGTTATTATAAAAATATGGAATATTCCGCAGTATACACATTTTCCAATTCTAGTTTTTATGTCTTTAATTATTATTACTAGAATAATGTGTAGAATAATTGTTTGTATATAAAACTTTACAAAGTATGAATAAATATGAATTAACAAATTTTATTATCTACATAGAATGGTAGATCCATATAGAGGCGAAAAAGTAATTGATTATTTATGAATATTTAATGAACTTTTGAGATAATAATAAGCTCATATATTTACCTTTTATATATTTAAATTAAAAGCGAGTATGCTTTAAAAAGATTATTTTTGAAATTTGTTTATAGTTATCTAGAATACTGCGAAAAGCTAGAAGAAATAGAGGCAAAGCTGACTAATTATGACATACTTGCTTTAAACAATGTATATTTTGTTAATAAAAAGCAATTTATAAAAATTGGAAAAAATAGAGAGAGATTTTATAATTAAGTGTTAGGTATTCTTCTCGTTTTGCTAACTAACTAACTGAACAGTAATACTTAAGAAATGTAAATATAAAATACAATTTCAATAAAAAAAAAAAAAAATGCTCACTTTACTCAATACGTAGTAAGAATATGGTGCAAATAATTTTCTATTTACTTGAATAAGTACATAATATAAAATATAATTTGTCAAAATATTTTCTTCTTCTTTTCTTCTGGTATAACTACTTTCTAAGAAGTCTTAGCACCATTACTACACCCCACCATCTGTCGCTATTAAGTACTGTATCTTTCCAGTCAATAACTACTAGGGTTCTTAAATATTTTTCCAAAATGTCAATCCATTCTTTCTAGGTCTTTTTTTTTTCAAATTTTCTATTCCATTGTTGCTCTAAATGTTTCATTCTCTTTTCTTCTCATTATGTAGTCGATCCACTGAATTTTTTAACCCTTAACAAAATATGTAGCTTGAGCTCCAATATATCATACAGCTCTATTACGTCTCCTATGCTAATTTCCTGTTGTTTCATCCATAATGGGTCCACATGTATTTCTCAACACTGTTCTTAAATTTTCTCAAGTTCTTTTAAATTTATTTAATTTTTGCCCAAGCTTCACAGTCATACATGAGAGTCGGCCTTATAATAGCCACATACTATCTTGTTTTTGTTTTCCAAGATAGTATTTTGGAACTTAAAAATGTTGTAAGTGCATAAAATGCTTTTTGGACTTTATTTATTTGAATATTTATTTATTTTTAATATTATTATAAATATTTAAAATCGATATATTTTTAATAAATTAAATTTTCCATCTCACTGGGATTCTCTCCACTCTCAATATGTTCCATTATCTTTGTCTTATCAGTATTGATTTGATCGCCACTTCTCCTATCACTCTAGCTAATATACTTTAGCTGTATCACAAAGCGTTAATTTTTAATGCCTAAATCTCCAATGAAACCGAGAAGTTGTATCTAAAATATTTTCTAAAAATTAAATGAAAAGTTTAATAGTCCACCATAATTTGTAAAATTATAACTGATTGTTGTTTTAAGACTTAAAAATATTTCAAAAATGAAAATATATTCATAAGCCATATTAAACCTTATATATTTAAGTAAAATTATATAATCACATAAGCAATTATTATTGTACTAATACAATCATAATTATTAAAATTGTTAATCTGATAAAATAAAAAAAAAACAAAAGTTTATTAATTTAAATAAATTGAACAGTAACGTCCTCTATCAGTCAAAAAAATGTTCTTGTTCCTTCACTTACATATTAAAAGATACATGGCTATTTTTGTAATTTATATTACAAAAATATAGGTATTTATGATATTATATTATCGTAGAAAAATTTAACCTACACACAAATTCATCTATTTTTCTATTACTCATAGCAAAAGTAGTTATAATGGTTTTGTTATCAACATTATTTCACAAAAAAAAAAAAATTATTAAACGAAAATTGTTAGATCTCTATGTTCTAAAAGTCCCTATTTTGTTTTTGATTTTTACTGTTTTAACTTGAACCAAACTTGATTTAAATATAAAAATAATCATTAATTTAATCTAAATATAGTTTATTTTTAAAATTAAAATATAAAATATATAAGAATATGAATTGAGCATATAATCTACCCATGTAGCTTTATGAGATCTTATTCGTTAATAAAAAAAGTAATATTATTATAATAATTATACAGCTTTTATTGTGAAACTGAATATATTTTAGATATTACATTTTTTGTGATATATTTTACTTTATTTTTTAGCTTATTTTAAACAATGGCGTATTTGAGCTGAGGCCATGGGAGAGGGTGAAACTAATTTTTTTTCAATACAAACTTAAAAATAATTTATAATTCATTACATTGGCATATCCAAGGAAGTGTTTTCGGGTCCGTACCCCCATTGATATTTCTACATATTCAATGGTTTAATAGTAAATAGTATACAGTATATTTTAATTCCCCATTATTTTCAATATACAAAGTGTATAGATTATATAATACGAGTATACCTAAAATGTATAAACCATGTTTAATTTATACTGCTTTTTTAGTATTATTTATTATTTTTAATTAAATAATGTATTTTTTTATAATATTTTACTACCAAATAAAAATTGATTTCAAATTAAAGTACCTACCTATTATAGTAAACCTCTGTGCAGATATATGTATGATATATGTATAACAATTGTGACTATTACCATAGTTATTAACAGTAATTTGTTGGTATTGAATTAAACTATAATTATAATTAGAGAACAGATAAAATAAAAATGTTGGAC